AGCCCTGCTCTAAAACTTTCGGCACCATGCACGAGCTGGTGAATCACGTCACGGTGGAGCACGTGGGCGGCCCCGAGCAAAGCAGCCACGTCTGCTTTTGGGAGGACTGTCCGCGCGAGGGCAAGCCCTTCAAGGCCAAATACAAGCTCATCAACCACATCCGCGTGCACACCGGCGAGAAGCCCTTTCCCTGCCCCTTCCCGGGCTGCGGCAAGGTCTTCGCGCGCTCCGAGAACCTCAAGATCCATAAGCGCACTCATACAGGTGGGTGTCTGTCCCCGGCCGCGCCGCCGCCGCCGCCGCCGCCGCTTCTGCCGCTGCTTCTCTTCCTTCTCCTGCTCGCCTTACTTTTTCCCTCCTTCTGCTGCTTCTCTTCGCATACGTATAACCCGGACATGTGACTTCTTTTTTTTCTCTCCCCCCCTTTTTTTCTATGAATAAGTAATTCGATAGCATACACAGGCCCCGCGCTGGGTTCCCACACGGTGGAGTCTCCAGCGCTCCCGCAGCCCCTCCGCCGGGACCGGCAACGCGCTCCAGCCGCCGCCGCCGCCGCCCCGGAGCAGAAGCAGCAGCCGCCGGAGCAGGAAGGCGCCCAGGACGGTCGGCAGCCCCCATCCGCCCGGCCCCGGGAACTTGGGGAGGGCGATGGGGAAGGAAGGCTGGAGCTGGAGCTGCCCCGGTGGCTCTTTCCTTCCCCATCGGATAGCAAGCCCCGCGCGGTCACCGCGCTCGGAAAAGAGGGCGTGCGAGGGGCGCTTGGGATTTGCTGCGGTACTGCGGCCACGAGGCCCAGCTCGGTGTGGCCCCTCCAGGAGGGGAGGGGGGTCCTGTCCCTCCCGGGCGGGGTGCAAAATGCGAAAGTAATGAGCCCTCGGGCTCCCGGAGTCCTTCCTCCTACACACACGCGCACACACTCGCCACCGTTACACACTCCACACCCACTTTCATGTGCGCACACATCACACAACTTGACACACCCATATTCCCTCATACACTCCTCTCTCACTGTTGGGACACCCATATGCCCTCACACACTCACCTTCCACATACACTCACACTTCCTCATTTACACACCTTCATATACATTTATACTCGCTCGCGCTGTCACACATTTTATCATACATGCCCTAGAGGGTGCTGGATTCTGACCTTTTAAAGAAGGTTCTACTTGGAGGAGGACAGGGCTAGTTGCAGAGCCTCCCGCGGTCTTTGGGGCCTACCGCGCCTTGGAACTTGGGGGGAGCCCCAGGCGCTGTGGTGACCCCTCCCACCCCGAGCCCTGCTTTAGGGGTGCCACAGCCCTGGGTGAGGGCAGCTGCGGCCTGGGGCAGTGGGATGGCCCCATGAGCCTTGTGCCCCTTCATACGGACGAGCGCGTTTGGCAGAAGCGCTGATGAGCGCGAGCGCAGTCGGGATTTATAGGGACAGGCAATATTACCCCTCGGAGGACACTTAAGTAACTGGAGTTTACATTCAGTAATTACTTGGCTGATTTATCGACGCTGCGGCGGCGAGGAGGCAGCGGCCGGGCGTGGGCCCCAACGCCTGGCCAGCGGCCCAGGCAGAAGCCTTGTAGGGACTTGTGAGAGAAGCCAGGTTCGGGGGCCCAAGGCTGGAAGCCCCGGGCCTTTCTCCTGTCGCCGGCACCTGACAGGCCGCTTGCGGACTGGCTGATGACCGGCTGGGAGGGAGTTTCGTTTGCCAGTCCAGTTCTTTTCTCATCTGGATCAGTCTGCCTTAATGATTTTTCCAAAAGGCAATTTCCCACGAGGCTCGCGTAAAAATTCCCTGGCCCGCTAAACCAGCCGCACTTCCCGACTGGGCGGAGGCCCGGGAATGTGAACCGCGCGTGCGGGGCGCGGGGAGTGAAGCCGTTCCCAAAGGGAACCCCTAAAAGCCGAGCCCGCGGCCTCGGCCCTTCCCGCCTTTCTAGGCCTCGGAGGGGGAGTGGACCTTCCCTTGGCGGGCAGGGAGGCTGCCCGGAGCCGTTTCCGCCCAGGTCAAGCAAGGAACTAGAAACTGATGGCGCGGCAGCTGACCGCCGGCCGGCTCTCCGGCCCCGGGGGGACAGGCTGCTTCCCACCCCTCCTGGAGGGCTGGCCCCAGGGGTTGTGCTTGCCAGCTTCTGGGGGCGGGGACCTGGGTGCCCAGGAGGATCCGGGGGCCCTTTTGTTGTCGGGTTCCTCGTCACGCGCAAGGTTGCATTCCAGCCGGGTTTGCGGTGGCTGCGTGGATCTGGCGGGGTCCCTCGGGAGGAATGCGAGCGCCCTCACGTTGATGCTCAAACCCGCGTCGGGTGTTTTCGGCGGTCTCTGGGCGGCTTAGCCATTGAGCATTGTGTCCAGAGAGGGGCCGCCCCGGACTCCCCTCCCAACCACAAAGCTGTAGCTTTTGGGGGAGTTATCCAGGATCCAGGAACAGATTGATCAAAGAGAATAATCCCCGCCACTCCCGAAGGCCCATTTCCTGACCCACGTGCCCCCAATTCCGTTTATAACCTTCCTCTGCACTGGACTCGAGTTCTCACACGTAGCTCCCCTCACTCTCAAACTCTGTAAGTAAATTCTGACATGACCCTTCTATCAGAATCTGCAATGTAAACACAGGTCTTTCACCCTTTGTAGTCAGGTAGAGCTTGATCACTGCCCCCCTTCTTAGGCTCCCCCTGAGTAAAACAGGAGAGTCTATCACCCTTTCCTTCTGGTCTTTCTTCCTCTATCTCCTTTATCCCTGCTCTTTACCTTTCTTTCCACTCCTTATCTGCCCTTACTCGGTCTGATTCTTTATGCTTCTCTTTACCATGTGCAGTGGCAGAACCAGCAATATTCAAGCCGTTTATTCTTCACAATCCGGGATATGTAGCTTGTGCAGAAACGTGAGAATTCTGAAAAAAGGGGAAAAAATTGCACATTTGCATAGGGTGAATAAAACCACTTAATCCTCCATGTTGAGGAAAGGCTGATTACGATCTTTTGGAAGAATGCTGTATGAAATTAATATTATCTCTAACTTAAAGTGAAATACAGAAATCAGGACAAAAAACTGGTGTTGATAAAACTCGATTAACTGTTTTTGTTGCAGCCCATCTACAGAGAATTTTTAGAGGTTATGATTATCATTGCGTTATGCTGTGTTTTCCCCTCTCTTTATAGATCATTCTAGGATGTGTATGAGTAATATTTCATTTTATTTTTAAACAATATTTCCAGGTAGGATAAGTTACATTCTAAATACTTTCAGATGTGCTAACATACTCTGGCATTGAAGCAGCCATCATTGGTGAAATAAAAAAGAGAACAATACACTGAAATGTTTGTATAAGAAAAATCTACCACAGAAACTTATGTATACTAAGCTGTCTTAATAGTTTGACTTAAAAAAAATAAATTATTAAAAACCAAGGAAAAGATCATTCTTTTTGTGTCATCAGAGTAGCTGCTGAAATATACAGAAATTTAACTTTCTTTTTTATGTCATTTAAATATAAGGAATATATCATTATACCATAATACGTATGAGATGACATGTTCAATTATGGACTCAAATACATTAAGTTCATAGATACTAAGTCTTCCTGTTTTTGCTTTTTTAATACCAAGATGTGATGTGGCAGAATATCTAGTTGTCTTGCTGAGCATTTCTACTACCTGGACTAGGGGCCTTGTGTTCAAGGGCATTGTGTTCCTGGGGTGGGTAGAGCAGCTTAAAGGGGCCTTGGGCCCAAAGACTCTGGTAAATGGTTGATCTTTTTTGACTCTTAAGCAATGTTAGAATAAGCTTACTTCTGGCATCAGGTAAATGCCAGGTTCTGGCTGAGGCTTGTGGTCTTTACTAACATTTGTTAAGGTTCTGTTCCCCTAGGCTCTGAACTGCCCAGCAAGTTGTGAGGAAGGCTGGCAGAATGAAGAGGCCAACAAGCCTCTCTGCCCAACTAGGCTTGTAAAAAAAAAAAAGTCCAGTGGTGAGATCATGAGTTTCATAGGTGTCTTTATTTCTGAAGAGAATAAGATTCTGTTATATTGCCTTTCCTTTTCCACCAGTGAAATCCTGGGAACACTCTGAAACCAAATGCCATTATTATAATTTTACTGTACCACCCCCAGTTTGCTTTTAATTGAGTATGTGTTTATTTTTCTTTTCTTTTTCTTTGGTCTTCACCCAAGCTGTGTCTTTGGCAGTGTCATTTTATCGGTATTTATCTTGGCAGGGGGATCTGCTTGAATTCTTGCATGTATAGATCCTGAGGGGAACGAGGACGTGGGTATTTGGGTCCTAGTTGCATTGGTATCACAGCCGGGACACACACTAGTCATTCTCACCTTGACCCCTACGGTACTACAGGGGTTGATATCCAGCCCAGGTCCAAGGAGAGCCTCCAGGCCAGGGGACACCAGGCCCGTCCCTGAAGTATCCCTTCCCCATGGCATCCTGGAACATAGGAATTAGGAGTAGGAATTAGGCTGGGAGTTGGCCTTCAAGAGAATGGGAAATGCATCCTGATGTTTGCCCTGAGATCTCTCTCTCAAGTAAGAGGTCTCTGAAAAGCACTTGGTAATCTTTCCTATGTTTTCTTGTAGGGGAAAAGCCTTTCAAATGTGAATTTGATGGTTGTGACAGGAAGTTTGCCAACAGCAGTGATCGAAAGAAACATTCCCACGTCCACACCAGCGACAAGCCCTACTACTGCAAGATCCGAGGCTGCGACAAATCCTACACCCACCCGAGCTCCCTGAGGAAGCACATGAAGATTCACTGCAAGTCCCCACCGCCTTCTCCAGGAGCCCTGGGTTACTCATCAGTGGGGACTCCAGTGGGTGCCCCCTTGTCCCCTGTGCTGGACCCAACCAGGAGTCGCTCTAGCACTCTGTCCCCTCAGGTGACCAATCTCAATGAGTGGTACGTCTGCCAGGCCAGTGGGGCTCCCAGCCACCTCCACACCCCTTCCAGCAACGGAACCACTTCTGAGTCTGAAGATGAGGAGATATACGGGAACTCTGAAGTTGTGCGGACGATACATTAGAAGTCATTAGTAATCATAATAAGTAAAATAATAAGTGGGAGCCCTTGGACCATATCCTAACCTGAGACAATGCCGAGCCTGAGACAAACCCATGACTCAGACTTGCCACCGGGTCTAATTAGCCCTATTTATTCGGTATGAAACCCTATGGTGTTTGTACATTTAATTAATTTAATTAAGATATTTGGGCTTTTTTTTTTTCTTAGAAAACAAACAAACACAAAACCCAACCAAGCTGGACTTGTATGTTGCAGGGGGACAGGCCTGGGAGCAAACTGTACCAGGGGAAATGAAAGGAGGGATCAGTTAATCGAGATACACACTGCCAATGCAATATATATGGTTTTTAAAAGGGTGAGAGAAAGAGCATGAAGTCAGAACTCCACACAGCAACAAGGCCCTCTGCATTTCCTGGAGTGCCTCATGAATGCCTTTGACACCATAATGCGCTTCTCTGGAGTCTCTGCCTCCTGCTTGGGCCCTAATTCTGCAAAGCCCTCTTGATTGTAAACCACACACTTGCTGCATTGCCCACAGATCTTGGACTATACCTGTGTCCAAAAATATTTGTAAAAAACCCTTTAAGTTCTAATACTTATAATTTTTGATTTCTATTCTTATTACTGATCTCACTGTAACGCTATTTTTATACAGGATTATTTCTTCAATACCCTGCTTGTATGATTTAACAAAGGAAAAAAAAAGATGCAGCAACCTTAGTTCATCTCCATATATTGTGCTACTGTGATTGTCAAGCTAAGTGGAGAGAAGAAAAAGCTGCTGTCATAGACAACTGTGAAACTGTGATATTTGATAAAATAGAAGAAATTCAAGTGCTCTCTTTCTCCTCTATCTTTTTTTTTAAACTGAAATCTCAGATGCTGCCTCTTTACTCTGTCCAAACTTCTTGTGTAATAAAGAGATTATGTTTTAGAGCATAAGTTCTTTGGGATGCCAAAATTAACAGGCAAGTGTAAGGAGGTGTGATGTTGGCAACATGCCTACTTTTTGGGAACGCTGTTTTAAAAACAGGCCAACCCCTCTTTTATACTCTTGTATCAACCTTTTAAAAAGTCCTTATTTTTCAATACCTGAAATTGCATTTTGATGCGTTTTCTTCCACCTGAGCACACATAACTGTCCCATTTGAAAATGAAAGTATGATTTACATTAAAAGAGGGGAGGGAGTTGCTATACATATTAAAATTTTTTAAAGGTTTATAGTTACCACCAAACACTGATGAATGTGTGACCTTTGCCAGAGCTGTCAAGCTAGTATAAGAAAGGTCAAGGACCTAGGACAATAACTCTTAGTCAATTTATTTTCGGTTGGTACAACACATCTTGTGTGCAAAATATAGTCCATCATAAACATCATACAAATATACTAAAGAGCACTAATTTATCCTCAGAGACCCTGAAGACACCCCCTCCCCAGGGTTTGTAGAAATTTGTGTGCTGTGAGTGGTTGATGTAGTCTTGTCATTGTTAATAACTTGTATGTGAACACTATTATTTGTACAGTTGAATTAATTTATTGTCAGACATCCTTTTTTTTTTTCTGGAAGAGTTCAAAGCACACCAAAGAATTATATTATACATTTTGGTGAAAGATTGTCATTTATGGTGTACAATTTATTTAAAAAAAAAAAAGGAAGGAAAATGGGAAAATATATTTTTAAACTTACTTGAATGAACAACGTAATGTGAAAATCAGGACTCTTCCTGCATGTCTCTTGCATTGTGTTGATGAGATTATATATAGTTTATAGATATATTCTATCACTAGTACAGTGCATGGTGCTGTCACTTTGAAAGCCTTTCAATGTTGTCTTCAGATTGTAACAGTGAATATGAAACATGCAGACCCTCCTTTATAAAGAAAAAGACCATAAAACTTGAATATAAAATAATTCTACATTTTAAAAGTTTATTTGATTTTCATATTATTCACTTTTAAAGCTCTTTCAAATAGACAAAGATGAGCTATGAACTTTGGGGGGATAATTTATGTATCGTAAACTTATTAGAACAAAATACTCCTGATTTATAATGAGTTGTTTTATTTATACAACTTTTTCAATGGTAGTTTGCACTATTCTTTATTATGCTACAGGTTTATTTATTATGAAACAAAGGAATATGTATTTTATGTATTTTGCCATGCATAGGTTAATTCTCTGCCAGATTTATTGGTTTGTGATACACCTAAAATGAAAACAAAATGTGTACCTCCAATAGAAAGAATGATTATGAAGTAAAAAATTTAATAAAGGTATTCTTCCTATGTACTGCTTATGTTTTACATAATGACATAGCTCTGCCATTCTCTTCCAGACAGAACAGGTTGCTCATGTGGTGATTATTATAGTAATTATTAGGCTCTCTTCCCTTGATCAGTTTATTTCCTCACCCTCCCCAAGCAATAGAATATTTTTACAGCTTGGTTTAATTTACAATCTAATCTAGAAAATACAGTATATTTATGAAGACTAAACCTGCAGGTTGCATGGAACACTAGCATAAATCTTCGGGTTTGCTGCATTCATTTGTTAAAATTAGTAATATCCTCAGTGATCCTAATCGGTGGAGAGCTGAAAAGCAAATTTTAGCCTGCCTTTGCTGCCTAGCTTCTCAAGAAAAAGGGTAAAAAAGAACAAGAAAAAGATGGAGGGACAGTGAGAGGTTTCCAGATACAAAAATCAGGAACCAAGATGGCTATGGAGTTAAATATCCTGAAAGAAGTTGAGTCATGCATATCAAATACCTCTTGTATCAGGTGATAGCAGCAGAATCCAATTTTATTGTGTTTTATTTGGAAGTAGAGTGGAGATAAGCAACTTAGCTCAGCATTTTGGGGCAGGTATTAAAGAGAAAGTAGAAAATACCCCAAGTGGCATGAAGTAATACAATTGGCTATCCACATTAACAAAGCTGAACACGTTTGCTTGTTTTTAGGTTGGCTGATACAAAACTGATAAAAAGGCAAGTAGTTAAAAACAATTGGTAGTGATGTCAACAGTTCTCTAAAAGGTTATAGTGGTTTTTAAAAGTCAGGTTTGTTAAATGTAGTAAAGGTGAAACAGGTTGCAAAGAGTTGTTTGAAGCCAGATGACAATGACTAGCACACGAAGGAGAAAAACACTCATAAATGAAGGCCCCCATCAATGGGAAAACTTATAGCTCTCTAATGAAGTTTCTTGTGAAAAGAAGGGTGACACAAAGCCACCAAGACATGAATCATTCATGGGAAATATAAAAGATAAAAGATATCTGACAAAGAGCAGAACCTTGTATAGAGTGTATAAAACAAGTTTCCCCTTCTTATTTTCTGCTTTAAAACTCACAATCTCCCACTCCCAGCGTTCTCTGTCCAGTCTATAGAGTTAAAATTGACCACTGCTCGTCCTGCGCCACTTCAAAGTAATTTAGTCCAGAACGGAAGGCTTGGCGCTTGGACAATCTTCATGGTGTGTTAAGATTTCTATGGCAATTGGCAAGCAAGACGTTCCCATCTGAATATGTCTCAAAGAAAGCCACTTATTGACACTAAGTTGGCTATCATCAAAGACTTCATCTTTCCTAGGCAAAACGTGGCCCTCGTGGCCCTTGCAAACACTGCTTAAATCATCTACCTTTGTTTTCCAGGCTAGGAGAATCTTCAAACACATGATTATTTGTATTATTTATGTATATATTTCCCCATTCAGGATGTTCTTTGGTAAAGCTAATGCTCCTAAAATCTAAAGTACTAAGAAAGAGCTTGAGGGTGGGGATTATATTCTTTTCAAGCAGTTGGAGACGGCCACAAGAGAGGGATAGTACTGGAGACAGGAAAAGAGGAGGCCCAAACTCCTTGAAAGCTAGGCCCAACGGACTGTAAATGCAGTCTTGCCATTTACATCTCACATTTTATGGATGCTTTCAGAGACCATAGTGGTTCTATCTATCAATCAAGCATCTCTTTATGAAAGGGGACAAGAGATGTTCACCTAAAGTATTTTTTATTCCAGTTTGGTTAGGACATACAACTGGGTAGGAGGGTGTGGAGACAATCTGATTTCTCAAGTGATCCCCTTAAATCAGAGGAAGAAAGGAAAGCTGAACACAAGAGAAACAAAACAATCCAGCAACATATTAATACTTTCAGCTTGTCACACCACACTGCCCACTCGCCTATCATCCGAGGTCTACCAAAATAGCCAGGAACCCCACCCATCCAGGGCTGGAGGGTTGGGAAGGAGACCCATAGAGAAACCACCCTGAGATTGCTAGCATACTTCCCCTCAATGAACAAAAACTCAGACACTCATACTCTGCCACCCCCCACCCCTCCATGCCCAAGCAGAAACTCGGGGGCACACATTCACACAACCCAGAGTGCCTAATCAGGCAGGGAGAAGTTCAAAGGCATGTTCTTTGAAATTCAAAATACAGCTTTTATGGTACATCCACTCAGAGCCTCGGCATTGCTATGGCAATGGGCAGGGCCAGGGGAGTCTCTGGCAGAGGGTCCACAGTGATTCGAGACACTCTATTAAGATACAGTTGCAGTGACCTTTTCTTTCACGCCAAGTTAGCTCAGTCAGTCTTCACCTGATTAGAAATATATATTACATATCACATTACATAGATGTAATACATGTAATACATATATATGTCTTTCCATCCACTTTTGTCAAGATTCCGCCTTAGAACCTCCCGTTTTGAGAGAAAGGAGGAAGAATAAGAGGAGCGAGAAAGCCAAGTGGGGGTGGGGGTGGGTGATGTCAGAAGAGCGGGGAGCCGGGCAGGAGAGCCCCAGCCCCAGTTCCTCTTCCTTCTCTCCCCACCTAAGCACTTTTACTTGCAGAGCGATTGTTCTTTGTTTATTTAATACAAGTACTGTGTGAATGGTGAAAAATAAACACGATGAAAAATAACCAAACAGATGATTCCTCCGAGTGAAAAAGCCCGGACTTAATAAAAGTGCGAAGCAGTTACCGCTGAATGAGAAACCCTTTGAAGTGGAACTTATTATAGGAGGAATACTTTGGGGTTGCCTTAACGACGCCGCTGAATCGAAAGCGCTCGCCTTTGTCAGCGATTTGTTCTCCTTTGCTGGGGTGCCCGGAGAAATTACTTACATGGGCTGCCTTAACATGCAGCCTGCAAATCAGTAACTTTGCAGCTCAGACTTGCAGACGCCACTCGGCAACAGACAAAAAGAAGTCAGGGGGAAACGCACCAACCTTTCACGCCGAGTCTCTGCGGATGGGGATGCAAGGGCCTGTTGGGGGCGGCAGATAAGAAGTTGTCTTACAACTGTCCCCCCCACCACACACACCCCCGGGTTCTCCACCCTCAGCCCCACCCCCACGCTGACTTCCGAGCCTGGGCCGGGGCCTCGGCCGGCGGCCTTGCTAGGATACAAGGGAGGCTCGGGCCTCTCCAGGGCCCTCCGGCGAGGGGCGCTCTTCCGCGCGCTGGCCGGGCGCCGGACGTTCCCAGCAGTCCGGGCCATATTTAATAAGGGTCGTTTATCACCCAGGCGCTTTGAAGGGTCGCCTCCAGCCCTGTGCCCATTAGAAAGGCGGAGGTGACATTTAAACTCCGTTTTCAAGGATCGCGGGGGGATTTCAATGAAAAGGCAACTCGTTTGTCTTATGGGCCTGGAAACAACCCCTTCTCGCTCCTTTTGACCACATGGCATAACTCAAAAACAATAGTTCAAAAGTGAAATGGCATCGTGGTGTTCACTCGAAGACAGGCCCCCATCTAGCACCAGAGAAAAGAGGTAGTCCGCAAGACAA